GAATCCGCTTCTAAGAAGCGTAAGACAAACCCCTTGCCCTCTTCCGGAAGGAAGAGGTTTTGGTTTGAAAGAACGGTAGATTTGAGTAGTCTCTTCCTTAGGGAAGAAGATAAACCAAAGAAGCCACGTTTCCTTTTGATGGCGTGATCGGAAGAAGGAAAAACATTTACAAGTCCTAGTGCGGTTCGTCACGCGCGGGCCATTGAGGACAGTTTCGGTAAACTCCAAGCGGTGGTGCGTCAGAGGAATGGTATCATTCTCTTCGAAGCAAGCATCGATGATCAAATCGAAAAATCTCGAAAACAAAGCCAGATTGCCGGCCTCCAAGTGGAAATGACCACTCACCCCACCCTTAACCTATGTAAGGGAGTGGTGAATCACGATGACGTTGCGTCCGAAAGTGAGGAGGGTCTTTCTTCAAGAGTCAGGGCGTAACGGGGGTGTCGGGGATCAAGAGGAACGAGAATGGGAGACATCCCTACTCCTACTGATCCTGACGTTTAATCTCCCCTCTCACCCAGAGAGGATTAGTTGTGTTTTTATAATCTCCACGTGCGGCAGTATGTCTTCAACCCCTTGCGTTGTTTCAAGTGTCAGAGGTTCGGCCACACCCAACAACGGTGCATGGCCCTAAGCCCTGTTTGCGCCAAGTGCGGCAAATCCACGCACGATACGGATCCTCGGATCCCTGTGCCTCCCTATTTCGCTGTGTTTACTGCGAAGGGGACCATGCGGCCAACTCGAAAATATGTCTACATACATTTTAGCATACATGTTACCGTGTCTTCCGACACTGTCGTCGGATCAGGCTCTCTGCACTCCTCCCTCTACCAACTTTGAGTGGACTATCCTTGGCGACCTGCATGGCAGTGACCACTTCCCCATTCTGGTCAATTTCGATATTTGCGACCCAAACGTTGCCTGTCCTCGCTGGTTAAGCCACCGAGAGGAATGGGAAACATTCGAGAAAGAAATATGGATATCGGAAAACTGTCCAAACGATATCGAGGCTATGGTTGCCTATTTTGCTGATGCCGTTCTTCATGCTACCTCAACTACCATCCCGAAGTCGTCGGGTGGCCCACGACATCCTCCCGTGCCATGGTGCAATGCCGGCTGTGCCTCTGCGGTGCGTGATCGGAAACGGGCACTAGCAAAGCTTAGTAGGTTCCCAGCCATGGAAATCTGATCAATTATAAAAGATCACGAACCAGATTGACCATACGGGAAAGTAAGGACTCGTCCTGGAGAGCGTATATTTCATCGTACATTTCATTCACTCTTGCCGCACGCCCGTTTTTTTCTTTCGTCAGGATCTTTCCGCGTCCTCCTTGGTTATGTTATCTTCAAGTCACCAGTTAGAAAACGGTGTTCCCGAGGGATCAATTCTGAGTGTCACACAGTTTGCCTTGCTATCAAGAGTATCGTATCAGAAATTCCAGAACCTGTGAAAGCAGCGCTCTTCATTGATGACTTTCCCATATTCTGCCCCTCGAAGAGCATGCAAGTTAATGAGATGCAGTTACAGCTTGTCCTCAACAAACTGCAAGAATGGAGCGTTACATCTGGATTCAAGTTCACATCAAAATCCAGTTGCATGCACTTCTGTAGAATATATTACCTCCATAATCATCCTGATCTTTTCTGGGATTTCATCAACTTACATTCGTCGAATCCTCAGCTTTCCTTGGCCTGTCATTCGACAATGGTTTAACATGGTGAAATCACATTCAAAACTTGAAGAGACGCTTTGTATCTCCATTGAACCTCCTACTCGCCCTTTCTGGTAGATTATGTGGCGCAGACAGAAGGTCTTTTGCGCCTATATATGACAATCATCTGTCTTATCTTAGATAATGGGTATATTGTCTATGGGTCAGCGTCTCCATCGATCGTCCGTTATTTGAATACCATACACAATGCCACCATGCGGATCAGTACAAGCGCCTACCGCACGGGTCGCATTGAATGCCTCTTGGCCGAGGCTGGTGAACCATTCCTAAGCTAAGGCGAGGTACTGTAGTCGGCTCCCTCGGTGCCAAAGTATTAGCCATAAATACATCTTCGCGCCAAGCAGTTCTTCACCCAAGTCAGGACATCCTACGAACTCAGACAAGCGTTACCCCATCTTCCGGGTATCTGTCTCTACATGCTCCTGCAGAAACTCGATATAAAATTCCCTATCCCTGTGTAATCCCCGCCCCAAATCTTGTTCCCCCTTGGAAGTTTCTCTGGCCTAAAATAGACCTGAGATAATCACTTCCCCAAATCCTTAACTCCCCCAGTTCATTTCTGGTGGAATTCCAGGAGACGAAATCCATGTATTCCGGCTATACCGTCATATATACTGGTGGTTTCACCCAGAATGTTAATGTAAGGTGTACATTCTACTGCCACAGTGCCATGCGGAGTCTTCGATTAGACTCTTCGTGCAGCGCTTATACTGCAGAAAAATATGCGCTCTTGGAGGCACTTAAGTTCACTGAATCGATGAAATTAAAAGAAGCTGTGATCTGCAGTAATTCAAAAAGCTCGTTCCAATCTATCTCCTGCTTCTCTTCTTGTGACCCTCTGACAATAAACACCCCAAAAATGAATAATTTACTGGTTCGTCGTTATAATTTGCTTCTTTGTTGGATCCCAGTTGGGATAATAGGGAACGAAATGGCTGACCAGGCAGCAAAGCACGCCACAAAGAAACTCTAGGTAGACATCCTCACAGTCCCAACAAACGATACCAAGCTGTTTATTAAATGTATTCTCATCGCATGGCAAACAGAGGTGCAGAACTCAGACTTTAAACGCACGAGAATCAAGGATTCCGTAAAGCCTTGGTTCTCTTCATCTCGTGGGTCAAGTATGCCACGCCTTCGGATTGGTCACTGCCATTTCTCCCACGGACATCTCCGCGGTGACTCACCCCTACCTGCGATAGTTGCGATACGGATCTTACCGTGGAGCATGTTCTCATGCACTGTTCCAAGGTACGAGATAGAAGGTTTCATCGTGCTAGTTCTGTAGCACAGGTACTTAGAAATGATTCTCCTCCATGCAAGCTTTTTAGTTTCTTACGACAGTCAGACATTTACAGCGTTATCTGAGAGAAGGTGATTATGCCAATTATTTGGCTTATAATTGGAGACTAGTGTTTATCTGACTCTTTTCAGCCAACCCTTTTCAATAATTGAATATGTTTATGTTCAGTTTTACTTACATTTTACATTGCAAAAAAAAAAAAAATGTTTTAGTCTGGCACTGCTACAGTGCGTATTTACCTAAAAAATCACACGGGCGCCAATGACCTTACCTGTTGAAGTTCCCTTAAACCTTCATCATCATCCCTGTTAGAGGACAAATATGGTAACGTAGAGTTCATTTTATGACACTATAGAATATATTTTGTAACTCCTAAATTTGATGTTTATGTAGTGTTAGGGAATTTCAATGCCCAAATGATGAACGATGTCATATGCGCCGACAATTTAGGACAATATAGTCTTCATAATGAGAATAACGACATTGGAGAGCGGTGGGAATTGCCGGGTCAGTGTGACAATTAGTAGTACCCTATCCCCACATCAAGAAATCTGTAAGGGGACGTCGATAATACCAGATAAAACCTGTACACAAATACATGTAATAGTAATCGATTCACATCATGAAAGTAACGTATTGGTCGTTAGAACTTTCAGAAAACCAGTCTGTGACTGAGATTATTTCCTTTAAGAGCTAAATATAGTCAGACGATAAATATCACTTAATACTTGTAGAACCAACAAATTGAATCATAGCGAATGTTCCGAAATACGAAGCGTCTTTCGAAGCGAAAGCCCAAGGCTCCAGGACCGGGTAGTATCCCCATCGCCCTCGTCTGCGGTATTTGCTCGTAGTGAAGTATTCGCGGACATCTACAGCTCATGTCTGAGAGAAATGATACTTCCTGAGAAATGTAAGACACAACTAGTACTTCAAATCCTTCTGATGTGCCTCTCGGCTTTCGGCCACTGTGCATGCTCGGGCAAGGTTTTCGATCATTAGCCCTTTTCATTACATCATTCCTATACTTTTAATGATGAATCATTACAGTGGAATGAATGCGTTTTAATACGAAAATTGATAAGTTTGTATAATGTAATAAATTAAACTATGAAATACCAACGAGTTTGTTGAGCCCAATTCGAATGTTTTGCCTCTAGGTCCGCGACGCACAAGGAGTCTGCAAAACCGTTTGAGTTATGCGACTGCTCTCTCCTTTTCCCTCCCCACCACAAGCGCCCATTCTGCCGTGATAATTTCCCTTTCTGCTTGGAGCCCAGCCACGAGCCACCGTGTGGGTAGGCTAGGTTTACGCTCTAGCGTTGCACACGAACGGACAGCCACACGTTTTGCCGTCAGCAAATGTTTCGGTGCCAAGGATCCACAAAACGTGAATTCTCGGTGTACAAACTTTAGACGAACCTACAGGAACAAGATTCATCCCCTTTTGCTGTATCAGAGCCCCGAAAAGTAATATTAATGTTAACAATGAGATTTAATGTATTATTTACCATTGGGGCTCTATAATTGTGTGCGCACGGCGCGTCCGTGTCGTGTGAACGTGTGCAGACGCGGTACTCACCTCGTACCAACCTCTCACATGGCGCCTCTCACATAACTATTAATTAATGAAGATAAAAAGCAAGTGATAATGCCTCTTGTAAAGAAGGAATAATAAATAAATAAATAAATAAATAAATAAATAAATAAATAAATAAATAAATAAATAAATAAATAATAATAATAATAATAATAAAAATATTCTAGGGAATTCCCAGCAATAACACACACATTGAGAATAAAAAATAATAAAAGAAGTTACAGAACAAAAAAATATTTTAATAATCTTCTTGCAACAGTTTTGTAACACATTCAATTACCATAAACACTTCAACATTAACTTCAAGTGTGGTGTGTGAAGCAAGTAGCATTCAATTCAATTCAACTTCCATATTTGTGAATCAATGTTTATTCAGTTGTCCAGCTACAACTCCTCCAGTCTAGAGGTTGGAAGAAGCATTAACTTCACTGTTTTTTTTTCTGTCGAGTACTTCTCTGAACAATGAACTTTTTCCAACAGTGTATTATTTTTGGAAATGAAATAAAATTACCAGAACATGACAGATTCTTAAAGCATGTTTTAACAGTGAACATTGCACCTACTGTTTCTATGTGAAGGTTGTTCATCTCCTTAGTCCATAACGATTTCATCTGAAAAACAAATCGTTCTACTATGGCATTAAACCTAGGGAGAGTGAGAGAGTGAGAAAGTAGGCTGTTTGGATGAAAGTAGGAGTGCTTGTCAGTGTTGGCTAATGATGACAACTGAACAGTAGTGAACACAGCTATCTGCTTTATAAATTCAGACATTCATGAAGGGTGCTGTGGCAGCATTGAAAGTTGGGACATTTGTCATCTCGAAATTGTTTTGTCAAGACACTGGGACAGAAGAAAGAAAACCTTTGAAAACCACAACTGTCTCAGTAAAACTGGAAATTCTGAGACTCCTATAAGATGAGAGAGGCTGTGCCATTTGTTACACCATGAGTTTTATTTATCATTCGTTAGAATTTGTCTTTTGTTTATCATACATATAGTATATCATGTTTGCTCGCAGTATCTATTGATAATTATGATAGAGACAAGGTGTAAATTCACACAAGTGACACACTCTGGTAGTTGTGCGATAGCCACCATTCATCATTGAAACTTGATTGTAAAATTTGTCTGTTCAGTGCCTAATGAACTATGGATAGACATATGGTTGTAAAAAGATTATGAAACAAATTGCTTGTCAGATTTCATGTCTTTGAATGCATACATTTTAAGTGATTTTTTTTTCTCCCTGTCATGTTGTGTTGCACAGCTCTGAAATATGGTACATTTTTATTAGCATCTGAATTTAAGAATGAAAATTGTTAAATTAAATAATTGGTTAAATAATAGGAATGAATTTGTGACATCATCATATGACATTTATTACTGTATTGTTTTGTGAATTTACTATTGTGTGTGTGTATTTGGTGTATTTGATTTCATCTTGTATTTAAAATACAATCCTACTTTCTTCAGGGATTTTACCGGGCTACGAAGGCAGCACTTGGAATGTCTAAGAAAGATAGAGCCTTATCATATTTGCGAACAGGTCTTGTGAATTGCCCAAAGGCAGATGAACTCAAAACTTTGTACGAAGAAATTAATAAGGAAAATGGAGGTTTGTAGATGCACTATATTGTTGCTTCCCTCAGTGTTTATATAGAATGTGCAGTATCGAAAAAAATTTGAATTGCAGATGGTGAACCATCAAGCAGTAACTCCACCTCATCCAAACCTCACTTGGTAAGTTCCCAATGATTTCAATAATATTAATAATTACCAGCCCATACAACACAGGAAATTATAATATTGTGATGTGTTGCTCATTGTCGTTGTCATCATCATCATTGATCATCATCATGATAGTAATAATTTTTCAACTAACATTGCTTGTTATTGAGATTATGTGAATCCTTTTGTCTTGTGTTTACCAAGTTTTATTATTTTTTGTCAAATTTAGGAAAAAGAAGAAACAAAGAAACACACAAAAATACATAACGGTGCTCAGGAAGAAGTGAATAGTGTGGTGGCAGAAAGATCTTCACGAAGTGACCAAAATAAATTCAGGAGCAGGTCGTCAGGAAGCCATAATAGAAACAATAGTAAAGATCCAATTGACAAGGTAAATCCATAAAGTTTAGATTTTACATCTAACATCTTTATTGATGGTTTTGTTTTGTTCTGAATATGCTTCTCAAGGGGTTGATAAATTGAATTTGTGAAAGATTTGTATTGTTTTGAATTAATGAAACTAAATAATCACACAGCACTAATGTAATATTTATTGTAGGACACTGTACGAAGTGTGTCTGTTAACCGCTCATCAAATGAAAAATCATTGTCAAAAAGAAACAGTGAACCTAAAAGTGATGCATTTATTGATACTCTCATCAAATTACAAACTGAATTGTCCCCTGAGGAGAAATCACCTCAACAAAAGGAACGTGAAGCTTTAATGGAGAAACAAAAGGTATAACCTGCAAAAGATATCTGATATTCCTTTCACCTTTCCACTAACCTAACTTAGGCTTGTTATGGTGACTAATTTAACCCACTTCATTTACCTCGCAATCCATGAAAGATTTCTGTCATTTAAGTGACTTATGATTAAATATCAACCCCTATCTTGCTTGCAGTCATGATGAAAATCTTAGCACAAAAAATATGAAACATAGGAATAGCACATTCTCCTTATTAACATATTCTCTCTTATTGTAATAAATGTGAAAGAATTGATGTACTTTCATGAGAACATGGTGAACGACAACACACACTCAAGAGCGGAACAGCTTCTTATTTATTACTTGAAACTTTTAAGCAAAATGCTTTACTACACATATTTATTTAATTAATTAATTAATTTATTTATTTATTTATTTACATCAAAAACAGTTAAAAAGTATGTGTGACAAGTTATGGGGAAGAGTTAAATTGAAGTTACATTTATGTCCAGAAGCAAAAGAGGGGGCCATCTCAGCATTTGCTCAAGGATCAGGGAAACTGGATGAAAATCTGATCGAGATGGGTGTCATTGACACAGAAGCTGAAGTACAATACTTGTTACAGGTTCTTTACAATTATACAATCCAAATGATATATAATATATTAAATATCATTGTTAAAATTAATATTACTTTAGTTTTGGATGCTCGGTATAGTCTCTAATTGTATAGAAATAGTTGTGCAGCAGAAAATATTTTACTTGGGACTTAAAACTTTTCTATCATATTTAATCGTTTAATGTCATTTGGCAAGGTATTGTAAAATAATGTACATGTATTGTGTGTGAATTTTTTGTAGTGAGCTGTTGATACTGTTACCTGATGAATATGATTACTACTCAAGTGTTGTAGTTAATAGATATATGTGTTTACTGAAAATATATTTCCCCCTTAAGTAAGTCATTTTTAACAAAAACCACTGATTCATATATGAAGAGGCCAGGTAATGGTAAGATACCTAGATTACTAAAGAGAGGCTTACAAGGATCATGGGGGTGGGATTTGCTTATTATTCATATAATTCTTTTTTTGTAATCTAAAAGTCTTGTTTCCAATTTCGTAATAATGTTCTGGCCTTCAATTTATGCAATTAACACAAAACATCCTTGAGTCTGTCCAATGAACTATTTCCTATGCTATTTATGACTTTTTTAATTTATTCATTTTTAGTCACATTGTTTGTTGAGGGCGTAATACATTGACTGCTGAGCTGCTTCAGTCTGTATAATACATTGACTGAACAATACATTGCACTACAAAAGAAAACCCTTGGATTGCTATTCCTTGAAGTGAATTACATTCATTGACAAAAATAAGTACATGTATACCAAACACTTTTAACTTGACATATTGACACTTCACAATGCATGTTAAGCTCCGGTATTTGGTCTATGCAATTAATGTAAATTGTCCTTGAGCTTTTGCAATGTGTAGTTTCCATTCATCATTTGCAATATATAAACAGATTACCCTTTTTCCTGCCACTTGTTTTCCACTTTCATTCACTGATCTCGTGAATTTGGAATCAACTTGTTCTGATTGAGGATAAAACCCTAAAACAAATTTTTCCCTCTTATTGAATTAACTTTAAAAGTTCATTCCAGAGTTTTTATTCTTCAATGTATGTATCAACTACTGATATATCTAGCAAATTCAAATTCATTCTTTACCTTTTGCCACGAGATTGACTTCAGATACTGCAAAAAAATAGTTTTTGTGCTATCATTCCTGATGATTCCTGGTGATAAACTAAAGGTTTGAGCCAAGACAAGTGTATTAGAAATAATCATAATTCACTTTTGATTTCATAGTGTATGTTACTAGTTGTTTTTTCATTTAATGTAATTCTTGTCATAGAATATTTGTTGTACAAAATCTATTTTAACAGAAGTTACAGGTATTTATGAAAGAGGGATATGAAGCAATGGAAATGGGCTCAACAAAACAAGCTTCAGAAAAGTATAAATGTGCTTTAGATATTATGGGTGAATGTGACATAAAGGTCAGTGGCTTATTAGTTTCAATTTCTTTTCTGTAATATTTCTAGAAACAAAAATTATTTCATGAAATAAACATGTTATAGGTTTTTGGTATGCCAGAAATCAATCGCATAGTTTTGAGGTACACCTTATCAATATGTTGGATTGAAACTCTGAATTATAACAACATTGTTCAGTCTGTTGGATGTTTGATGGAAATAGAGACTCTTCAAGCAGAAGATCTCCCAGCTGTTTATTATGGTTTGGGACGTGCATTTTATCGATTGAATAGGTAACAATATTTTTGGTGTAGATGTTTCTTTCTATGACAAATCATTTTTGGTAAATTTATGATTTGAATTTTTTATGTATGTGTATAAAATATTTTTTTTATTACAATTTCAGATGTATAATTTACTCTTCCACTTATCTGATAGCTAATAATGCAAGTACATATTTGATAGTGTACCCACATGTCTGTGCTCTTTCTCTTTAACTGACTTGACAAACATCACTAACTGATTGGCCATAAACATAGAGAATGTGTAGTCTTCCCAATTTGAAAGATACTTTACGTGATAAAGTTATTTTTTTTCTTCTTTCTTATTCTCTCTTTCTTTTCATTTTTTTTTCTGAAAGTTTGTCAAACTTTTAACCTTGTATTTTTTTCCCTAAATTTTTGTACTGAAAGAATCAAAGTTGTTAATAAAAGTTCTATTTTCATGATCATTAATAAGTTTTTGCAAAACTTTCTCAGTCTCATTATTTTTCTGAGGATATATTTTGTAATTTTTATCAATTTACACAAAATATAACAGTTTAAAAACCGATTGGCATTTAAAAAACGAATTCCTCTGCAAAATTGCAAATTGAATTAGTTTTATTCATCGTGTTTTTTCACATAAAGACATGCTGTCTAGGATTTCTAAAGTCATGTAGGCTTTTTTAGAGAATGTCGTTATAATACACCTGGTACCAGGTGCATAGGTATTAGAAATGCGAAATGCGAGTTGAGAGTTCCCCTATCCCTTAGCTATAAAATATGGCCAGCTTGTGTTTATTACATTTATTTGCTTAGTTATTTTTTAAAACAATTTTTATTACCATAAGAATACTAAAAAGTTACAGTTTAATTGATGAAAATGTGAAAATTACAGAGAAATGGACAAAGTTGTAGAAAAGATAGCCTGTTTTTGTTCCAAATGAGTCAAACGCAATTCTATGAAACCTTTTTACATTATTATGGTCTTTACATTTTTCACTAACTGTACACTTCAAACAATAAATGTTTTTACCCAATTTATTTTCCTTTATTGAAAATTTCCTTATTTGAAATTTATTTTAATGGAATGATACAATGTACTTTTTAGTGTATAATTTGTTTTGTAATTATTACCTTCCCATCATGTCGGAATAAATTTAAATTAACAAGCAACTTGCAGGTCCAAGAAAGTGTTCAGAAGTTAGGTTGTATTGGTAACTGGGTGACCTAAGTATGAATCCCGTTGCAAAGACTACTTGTAATATTTAAATATTTTTTTGTATTATGATATGTTCGTTTTATTTTTCATGATAAATTTCTTGCATGCTTATCATGTACTTTGTGTATCTGTTTCAGGTTTAAAGTAGCTTTAGGTCATTTAAATAAAGGTTTAGAAATGGTTGAAAATATGGCTGAAGTTGTACCTCATCCTTGGCCAGGAACAATCAAGATGATTGTGGAGACAACTAAAGTGGGTTTGAAGGTAATAATCTTTAAAATCTTTTGGTTGTTTTAAATATTAATCTAGGCAATATTTTAATAAAGTTGAGGAATAATGGGGAATCTGAGATTTACTATTGGTTTGAAAAGTCATGAAATTGTCAAGAAATTTTGTTAATTGCTGGAGAGACTTTTCTCTATGTGAAATTATCCTCCATGATTTAACAATGTAGTTGAAATGAAAATTTGGAACATTCAGAGGAGATGAAACAATGGGAAATGCTAGATAAAAAGGGGAAATTAAAAAACAGGTAATTACTTTTGATTTGCAAATAAATAGATGTGTAGCTTTACCTTGTATGTATTATTTCCAGTCCACATAGGTTGAAATTGAACTTATTATTGTGACTACTTTAAAAGAAAAAAATGTATCTTTTACATTTCTGAAGCAATTTAATGCTTCAATAAAAGATGATGCTTTTCAATATTTTTTTTCTTTTGTCAGCAGAAAAACATATTTTGACTTGTGTTTATGGCCTACATGCTAATTGTGTCAAAATAAGTTGTCTTCTATTAAAAAGTTCTTCTAAAAAAAAATTATGTGTAGAAGGAGGCACATAGGGGCCTTGGTTTTATCTCTTAGATGTGGGAACTCATATGACTAGAAGTGGGATACAGTATGCATGAGGTTAGCTTGCATTTTTAATATTATTGATCGGATGTACAATCTCAAATTTTTGTGATATTGATATGAACTTAATTTTTGGGAATGCCTTTCACACTGGACACTGCTTACCAAATGATCAACACTAAAATCTCCACAATGGGGAAAAGCACTGTTCAAAATGCATGAAAATGCCATCTTCAATAGCACACAACTTACACTGATCGTGGTTCTTTGAACACAATGAATGCATATAATGAATAAGCTCTCAATGAAGTTCTCAATAGCGGCACCTTTCAATGATAAGCTACGTTGTTTTGCGAAGAATATTGTATGGATGGAAACCCCTTGATTTGTGCCCTTTGTCAAAATTGGTCAAGAACAAAAACAGTTGCTCCATAGGATATCCTAGCTTGCTCCATAGGATAATTTGTCACATAGACTGATCAATGTGATTGAATATTCACTTTTAATTTCTTTTTCACATTGAAGTATTTTATCATGCTTTTTCTACTGTTGGAAACGTCCTCAAGCCCTCTACTTTGTTGAGAACTCTTGTTTAGCATCCAGAGCAAACTTTGGATAATAAATAGAAAGAAGCTTAAAAACAACCAAGCAATTATACCATTGAGTTTCCTTAATTTCAGGGCAAAAAGAACCAACGACAGAGGGTGAATTTACAAATTGTCAAGTCATGTGCTCAAAAAGTCTATTCTGAAACAAATTGTTGTGTAGTTTTGATTTTTCGTTCACTTAATTCATATTTGAAGTGATATTTAATTAATATTTTAAGTAAAATGAAATACTGTACAATTTTATTCAGGAGAAGAAAGGGCTGGTGAAGTGGGAAAACCTAGGGAAATTTGTTTCAGGATAAGTGGCCATCCTTGATATTCATCTGACACTGATTTTGTTCACACTTCCTGTGGTATTGAAAATGGATTTTTGCAACCTCTCCAAAAGTTTTATTTTAGAACTGACATTTCAGACACTTCCAGATTTTTGAAACTTTTATTTTTTGAAATTTATTATAATGATAGTTGTTGCGAGAGCCAACAGTATAAATAGGCCTAGTTGGAAATAAATTGTTTAACCTTTAAATTATAAAATCAATTTAAGTGAATCTGTCAAAAGAATTTCCTTTCTCAGGAGTCTCTAAATAAATTGTGTTATGAATGCAGAACATATCGTGAACCTGATGCTGTTTGTAGATATAAAGAATGTCTAAATGTGAGCTCTCACATTTGTCCTTCAGAAATTATATTTTACAGGTGAGTTGTTCAGTACTGTATTTGAAAATATTACTACTATTACTAAATCTTTCACTAGTTTATCATTATTACAAATCTTTTCTATTTAAGCGATCCAGACTTTGTGGGCTATGTTGTGATTATATGCCAAGAGAATTGTAAAATAACATACCATGTAGGTTGTTGGAAGCATTATAAAGAGTGTCTGTCATCAGTGGGAAAACTATCAGATAAGGTGAGAGAACCAAAATACTCCATTCTTAGTGCTTTCAGTTGAAACCTTTTCATTAATCTTGTACACCACACGAATCTGTTGTCAAGAAGCTGCACAAAAACAGAAAAAAAATGTTTTAAAATTAAAGCAGAAATTGGATTATTCAATAAACGCAAGAAAATACTCCAGTGTTCTATTATGAAGCATTTTTACTTTTCCAATGTATAGATACATGGTACTATGACGTTTAAAAACTTTCTTATTCAACAAAATGTTTTAGGTAGATAGATAGATTTTGATTTATTTTAGCCATCTCAGCTATTTGTGTATTAAGTAAATACTATAAAATCTGTCTAAACCAGAACTTGTACAAAGTGGAAGCCTGCCTTAACTGGAAAATTTCTCCTATCTGTTAAGTTAATTGGCATTTTACAAAGCGTAAAATGGAATCTGGTCAGCGTGGAATGGAAAGGTTTTTCATGTCCTGCATGGGAGAAAATCTTTATAAAATGGAATTCCTTGTGAATTTAATGCAATTGATGCATTCAATGAATATTCATAATGGAATGAATGCATCTGCAAGTATGTTTTAAAGTATTTGTCCCCGTGACACGGGATTTCGTCGTAGCAGTTGCACAATGATGGAGAAGAGCTTCAGTTGTCATGTAGAATTCGACCCTTGGGTTGCTTCTTTCGCATGGTGTGGGCCACTGGGGAATTCCCTTCCTCCTCTCTCTTTCAGCTAAGGTGTAAGGGTTTCTATTCATGTATTGCCCTGACCTGTGTTGATAATCGTAACCCCTCGGTCTGAGACACATTACTCAAGACCATTCAAGGGTATCAGAAGGACAGTTACAGTACTCAGGGTTGTGATGCATTGTGCGTTGAGAGTCAGCAGCAGCAAGCAGCCACTAATAGGCAGTGAGGTGGCGTGTATTTTTATGAGTTTAACAACCAATTTAACATTAAACTCTAATATTAGATGAAAAAGTCAAACTTACAGAAGCAAGAGAAACTCAAAAGCTGTCAATGAAGAATAATTAGTATTGATTTATTGGCGTTTTCTTCCATATATACGTTATGTATGTTCACATATTTCAAAAATTATAATTAAGTCATGTAATTTACTCCAGTTTCAGGACGGAATAGTCATAATATGAACTACCCTGCGTAGAATAGAAATCTCCTTAATTGGGAAAATTTGTTTGTCCTGATCTATTCCGGTCGAGGCAGATTTTGCTGAAAATATAAACATTAGAGGTATATTACATTAACTATTTTCACAATTAATTTTCTATTTGTATATAGTTCTTCGTTTTTCTTTTAAATTGTGTAATTTTATCACAATTTTTAATTTCAAACTGTAATTTATTAAATAATTCAAATCATTGATCGAATGTGTTGTTTTTGCTTACACAGTTTTACTTTAATTACTGAATTTTCTGCCAATCTTGTTTATCTTTGGATTTTGTTTGCCATGTTTCCTGTTATATAAATACTTTTAATAAATGTTTTGTAAGTAACTGTAAATGTGTTAGCAGGGTTGTGCTTTTCTTTTCTATCTTCATCAAATGTAATATCTTTAGTCACTGTAACAGTTTTTATCCCCTACAAATTTCTTAATTACTTTTCTATAATTCTCTACTTTTTGTGTTCTTCAATAGTATTGTTATATTCTACTTTATTTTTCTTATTTATTTATTTCTTGATCAATTTATTTACAGGCAGCAGTAAAAACTACTAAATACCTGAATCGGGCTACTAACATTTTGTATGATAGTTAATATATATAAATATAATAATAAATCTCGCACATAGTTATGCAGAAAAATATAATACTTTGTTGGCTTCTTAAGTTCAGGGTTTGAAATGAAGTAGAAATAAAAAGATTTTATGTTATATCAAGGAGTTCATATATTGGTTATTCATCCAATCTACTTTGCTACTTTGAAAGTTCGAACACTCGGCGAGGTAACAATTTCTTCCAATAGACGATTCCAAATTCCATTATTTTTATAGTTATTAGCTCGATTTGATAGGAAGTTTTGCTTATGGAGTCATTTAAATTTGACTTTGGTTAGTTTAAAACTGTGACCTCTCAAGTGGGTAATTCTAGATTGGATAAAGATGTCTTCTAGTTTGTGATATCGGTAAAACCCTTTCACAATCTGCACGGTTTCAATGAGGTCTGCACGAAGACGTGTCTCACTGAGAGGAGACAGATTCAATTCTCTAAGACCAGCATCATATGGGAGATTTCTCAGACATGGTACTATTTTGGTGGCTTTCTGCTGTATGTTCTCCAAAGTTAAGATGTCCTTGTTGAAATAGGGTTCTGAATGATGCTGCCATATTCAATAATTGGAATGATGAAACTTTGGTAGAGAAAGCCTACAGTGGCCGTGAAAGCCTACAGTGTTCTACAGTGTTTTATTTGGTAGAGAAGTTTAAATGATTTGCCATTAGATATTTGAAGGCTTTCCTCAGGAGATAAAGTTTTTATTTGCTTTTTTAGTAATATAATTAATATGTTTCTCCCGTTTCAAGAAGTCAGAAATTATTCCCAGGTCTTTGATACTGTTTTCCAGCTTCATTCTCTGTCCGTTTAGAAAGAGTGGTAAATGAGGTTTGGTTTTCCCATGTGGATTACAGAGCTTTTTGCCTCATTCAGATGAATAAGCCAAATCTGCAACCATTAAGAGATAATCTTAACTAATGTAACTACATTATTTCTTATCTTGGTTTCCTCCCACTTTTTCGGTTCTCGTATTGTTTTAGCCATTTTGTGTGCTTTATATATCTTTTTGCATAAAGTATTTCCTACCGTTTTTTTAAGAAAAGTTTGTTGCGTCTTCAAGCCCCCAAGGGCGTTGAGTGCTTTGCGCTTTTGGGGTAATCCTCCATTTATCAGCACGGGAGTAATCCTCCATTAACAATAGTATGTCGTATCTGTCACATCTCGTCGCAGTCAGTTGTCAAGAGGACCGCAAAGTAGCATCTCCGCGTATGCGCCTCCTATTACATGCCCCTACATCACTACTCGGATGCTAGAATTGGGAAGGAATTAGGATTAGGGTAGGTTTTAGGACACTATGCATGGATTGGGCTAGCCATTGTGAAGCACGCAAACTCATTTTGTCGTAACAAATTTCACTTCATCACACGCTCATTTCACTCCGTCGGAACTTGAACAAATTTCACCTAAGATACCTCAAGTGACCCAGGTATTCTACGGGTATCAAACCCAGAACTTCAGTGGTGAAAGGCTAGCAACTTCGCCACTGATCCTCAAGAGCACTTCTTTTCAATTCCATTTTGTTTCATTTCATTCAGTGTGCTCTTTCAATTCTTTTAACTGGTGCCACCTCATCTGAGGATTGTATGATGATTTTTATAAATTCCTTTTTTAATTTTTACTATTTCTGTATTTTATTTATCTAATATATCCTAATAATTCTTTAAATTAATCAGCTTTCAAATTCATAGGGTCTCTATTACATATTTTAATTTCTCCTATTCAATTTGCACTTTTCCCTTTGTAATATGCATTACCTCTGTTTTTTGACATGATCAGTTACTTCTGGTGTTCCTTGTACGTTCATTTTTACATTGGAGAATATTGCCCAAGAAAAAAGCAGTATCTGCCAAAAATTGCATATTGAGGTATGCATATCTCTGCACTCGGAAAAATCAGCTACTCCTACTTAGCTTAGTTAGAATGTGTCTATAATGATATAGAAGTTATTTGAATTAAAAACACAGGATCTGCATCTTCTTATGGTTGTTTGCTTAGAAGAATGCAAGTGAAATTTCATAGTAATGATCCATAAATAGATCTTATCAGATGCATTAATTGCAGTGGGCAGCATTCATCCAGGTCAAGGGACTGCCTAATCTATAAGCAGGAGGCAAAAAAAAAAAAAAAAAAAAAAAAAAGTTTTACATTTAAGATACCTGTTTTTTCTTTTCATGAGAAGAAAATGGTTGGTCTGCCAAAGTTTGACAAAGCCATGAAACACTTGGAAATCCTGTCTTCCAAATCAATGTCTTGCATTTGCAAATGTTTCTCTATCCTCTAAGTAACTGTGGTCATTATAGGTACACAATGCAAGGCCCACTAAAATAGATCTTTTTACCAGGAGAGCTGGCTCAGGGCATCAACTGATGTCACTGCACTCCCTCTGAATGGGAGGTCCTAGGTTCAAGTTCCGACGGAGGCAGGATTTTCGACACTAGCTTCTTAGCTAGGTCGAATTCTGTTGCAAGGAGAATTCTAGCCGGCTGCGCTCATGGGTAGTTTCCCGTGGTTTCTCCGATCAACACCAAGCGAATGCCAGAGCAGTACCCTACAAACGGGACACAAAGAGCATGATCTTTCCTACCTCTTCCTTGTTCTATCCTCTTCCCTTACACACACTTATACTAACACGCACTACACAAGCATCCATGCCGAGAGACCAGTCAGGAGATTAGAGCTTGTCCCTGCTGGGGCAGTGCCCCACTGGTTGGAGATACTGGTTGGGGAAAACCCCACTAGCCGATGTTAGGTTGGCGCCAGATCTTGCCATATAGTGAGGGAAAGATCACTGCCGCTTCCCAAGGGAAAAATGCACTACACTTACAGACTAACGACTGGGGTAGTTAATGTGCACCGAATCACTAAAACATTCAATCAATACATCTTTAATTATAACTTTCTCGTGACACATTTATATTAAAGTCTCCCATTATTATGCAATCATTCATTGTCATTTTTATTTCTTTTGTGAGAATGCCAATAAATTGTCTCATTAGCTGCATTTGGAGAGTGGCAAACAGTAAGTAATGAAACTTGTATTCTTTACAAAATTATCTAAATTAACCATCCTATGTAGTCTGTCTTAACATTATCTGTTTTAATGATTACATTTTTCCAAACTTAAATGTTGGTAAATGCTTTAATTATTCTCATCCTTTTCCATTTATTCCGTAGTTGATAACTTCAGTAAAACTTTCTCAGTGCAAATTCTCAAGGGACCAGTATTTTTTTTCCGCATTATGTGGAATGTACATTTGCCAGGATTATGGTTTATGTTCACATTGGTCAGATTTTCACATTATATACATTTTGCATTTAACAAGTTTCACTGTGTTTTGCACGTATTTTAGCGCTAAAAATTGAAGACTAGGTACTGATTTCTAAAAACTATAAACTAAAAAGAATTGAAATCAAAATTCTGCCAAGCACAGAGCTGTTATTAACAATATTGTGATTTTAGTATACTGATTACAATAGTGATACACACAATACTGATTTTAGCATACTGTCGATAACAGTGAATAATCTATTAAATATTATTTCTAAATTATAGAATGGATTGTGATTTGAAAATCATTGCAATTCTCTATTTATTTGATTATAATTACGAGATATACATAAATGCAGCTAACATTTTTTTATAATTTATATTTGAGTGAATTAGTCATTCATAAACCCTTCTGTTTATTAATTACTATTATTTACATTTTCATTTAAATATGTATTGAAAAACTGAAAACACACTTGCATAGGTGACAATTTCATAACCCCAAAATTTACGAGAAATAAAAGATGCACCAGTTTGAAATTACAAAGAGCATGTCATTCTTCTGCAGAGTGAAAACTGAAAACAACAACAAACTTAAAACATCCACTCCTAAATGAATACAATAATGAAACCTATTTCTAATGCTACGCAGTCTGTGTATTCATGTATTGTGTAGCACTGTCATTATTTTTGTGTTATTGTGTTGCCATATTCATAGTATTGGTGATATTTTTGAATGTGTAAATTGTTATTGAATTTTATTCTTTTAACAGGATGTGCTAGGTAAGGCTTGTTTAACAAGTGATTGTGTAAATGAAAGAAATGAAATATCAGTGATTGTCCGAATAGAAGTTTATGGAGAAGATGGAAAAATAAAAACGTCATGTCTAAAAGAGCCTACAAAAACTGATAATGTAAATGAACATCGGAAAGAAAGGTGAAAAATATTCATTTATCTGTCGTAGGAATGTGTATGATGGCACTGTTACATTTATTTGATTATTATTTTAGGAGGAAGAAGAATGAGAAGATAGAAAAGCCTGTAAAAGTAAGAGAAATGTATTATAATATAATTTGAGTAGCTATTATGGATTTTGAAGTGGTAAAATAATTTTTAAAAGAGTATCTTTTAAAAGTCATGTCATTTGCAGGTTAAAGTGCCTCGGGTTAGAGTTAAGAAATTACCTCCTAGTTCACAAAATATTGTTAAGAAAGTGAAGAGACGATCTACCATTTCCATGTAAGTGAACAATTTTAGTTAACATTGGTATAGATATTCATTTCATATTTCTTTTTGAAATTTAAACTATTTATGATCATCTGTGTTTAAAATTTAGCTCAGGAACATTGACACATTACCTTAAGTTTCCTTCTAAGTATTAAATACTTTACATGATGTTTAGGATCTTCCATTCTATCACTTGTTTATTTGATGATTTGCTCTGATTCATTCAGTAAAAGCTAATATTTTTATGAATTTATTGTCACTTTGTACTGTTTCATTTGAATTCGCGATATAATACTGTGTTCATTGTAAAATTCCCCCAATGGCATGTTTTAAATTTTAATGGTGGAACTAAAAGACAATGTGGTCATTGTTATATTTATACTATGAAGCAATGGTATTACATTTCATCTAATTTATCTCATTTATTAATTCTAAATAGATGAATCATTGCATTGATGAAATGTTGTGATGTGATTAATAAAGCTATTGTGTGTTGTTGTGTGCTGTTGTATATTTAGTCACACTAACTGTTGCTGAGTTATTGTGACAATCTATTCTCAAGATCATAAATTCATACAAATATTTAATCCTTTACCTGAAAAGGCTAAACACTTAAGCTTAAAAAATGCTGTTGCCGAATGTTAAAAAACAATGTACTTTGTTATCTTTTGCCAATATTAATTTGATTGTTAACTCTACCTTTTCCATTTGTCAGTTCACACCAGAAACACCAGGATTTGTAAGTACAGTTTTTGTCAGAATTGAATGAAAGTTTAAAATGATTCATTTTCAACTAATATTGTTGTAGAAAACGTTTTTCCTGACTTTTACCCGTTATTCGTTTTAAGACATCTTTCCTGCTGATTAATTCAATTTAATAAATAATATAATAAATGTATCAAAAAGTAATTCTTAAAAAAAGTCCCATTGAATAGTTTAATGGGATAAATAAAAAAAGTAGTTTACAGATCTTATATTTGTGTGTTTATTCTAGTGAAGACATAACCCGTTGCAAGCAGAAGCTATCTATGCTGCGTGAAATATACTTTGGTGTCGATGAAACAATCAGCGTAAGTGAACCAGAAAAATAACATATCTGTTTACATAATTTCTCTTGATAATGTCAGTAATTGTAAATTTTGGCTTAAAAATGTAATGAATTTTTTTTTTTTTTTTTGGTGTGTGTGTATGTGTTAGTGGAATCCACGAAAAGATTACTTCGGAAGGCCTGATATTTCTACCCTTAAAACATTCATAAATAGTAAAGATTCAGAAATTTTGAGAGAACGAAAAAATTTCATTTACACGTAAGTTTATTGGATACAATATAATATCCATAGGAATCAAAATATCATTTCAAATTTTATTTGTGTTTGCAGGTATTTTTATGAATATTTTAATGATGAAGGACCACAAAAAGTGTCTGCAATAGAGAAAAAATGGCTTGAAGATATTTCCCAATTTCCAGGAATAAATGAATTTATGTCGGAACATGATGGTATGGAAATTAATTCATTAATAGTCTTGAGCAGTAAGATTGTTGAAGTTTTTAATAAAAATCTCATTTAGAGAGGAATGTTGAATTTTTTTGATGAAATCTTGAAATTATAACTTGAGAAAATTTGTTAAATAGTGTGTTAAGTTGTTAATTTATTGATTAGTCCTTTAAGACACTCAATTACTGTTAGACTTTACTATAAGGCACATGTGGGTGTATGCAGGATATGAGTGTGGACATGCGCTGAGAAAACATCTTAGTATTGGAAGGGAGACATGTGGTGGTATAATTAAACTTTTTACTGAATTGACCCCACTCTCTTTGATTAGTGAATTTATGACTTTACTGGCAAGGCGTATGAATTTTCTGCTCAATGATTGTGAGAGAAAGCTATTTGTCTTTATGGACGGTTAGCGTATCAGACTTATACCAAAATTTACGGGTTGAAACCCAATTACAGCTGTGGATTTTTAAAGGCGAAAAAATACTTTGTATGCAGGGGAAGTAAAGGCGGCTGTCCCGTTTGTAGATTTACTTGCATGTAAAAGATATTGAAGCCTAAATGACGCCTCTGAGCTAAATTCAAATCACCTGTTTCTCGCCCAAGAAATACCTCCTTTCTCGGCTAGTTGGTGAAAGGAGCGTAGCGGAATTTGCATGGTCAGAAGGAAGAGCGGGTCTGATGGCCTGAGTCTCGCCACATAAAATAAGGCATCAATTCAATTCAATTCAATATTAACTAAGGATCTATCAATACAATCCTGAGAGTGTATTAATCAATTGCCTGTTAAATACTCCAATCATCTTGTCTGCTATGCTAATGTATATATCTTTTATTGAGTCATGTCTTCATGGATATTCTCAGGTTTATTTATTATTTTTTACAATACAAAGTCCCAATTAAAGTACTATCTGTAGAAAGAGCAATTTTTAATAATTAATGGTGTTAACCAGTGGCGATTTGTGACTTTAATTAAAGAGAGGCTGCATACAAAAATAGAAAATGCATTGAGGTATGTTCAATACCAGTGTAGGTCTACTGCGAGCTTTTATATCACACTTTCTTTTTTTTGAGTTAAATTTCTTAATTTCACGGTTTTTAAATATTGAAGAGAATTACTATTCACATCCATTCTAAAACACAAACTAGTGCTAAAACAGCACAAACTTTCTCCCCCGTACTTTCAAGCAAAATTATGCAAACAATACTTAAATTTTTGAAAAATTGCACATGATCTTATTTCAAAATCTGTCTTTAGTGAAGAGATTTCATTAAGGAAAAATATTCACATTCAATATTTTAGTTTTAGGAAGATGCCGAAAAATTTTGAATGTTTTCAATTTTCGAAAAATGAGTTTTCAATGAAAATGAGAGTAGCACCATTTTCTTAAACATCCTTTACACTATCTAACAACAAAACTTAATCAATAATGGTGGTGTCATTTTTAAAATAAAGTTTGAAAATGTCCCAGGGGTTTCATGTAAAGTACCCTAAAAAATTATAATGTCGTTTTCAAATTTAAGGAGCTGTGACATCAGCCAGATCGATTGGGGAATATTGATTTTGGAGAAAATTGACTGAACGGTTTAGCTGCTGGACGGATAAACATACATATTGCTGTCAATCAATTTTTGGAATCAAGGACCCACAAAACATGGATTCTGTCTTCATCACGTGTTAGAGAATTTTTATTTCTGAACTTAGCAACTGAATTTATCCATATTATCATTACCAGGGCCCTGTAATAAGAGTTTTTCTGCTGAAAATTCGTCGTTATATCACGCAGCATGGCATAACATTCTTTTTACTTGGTAGCGAGAATGTTAAATGAAGAGAAAAATACAATATACAGCACCTCAACTGTATCGTACATCCTTAACTATATTATTGGTATAAAAATTACGTAAACTTAGTGCAAAACCGAAGAAGGGACTATCTTTCCTAGCCCCAAACAGCCCCTAGTCCCAATGTTGAGGAACATGAACAGCGAGGAAAGCGAAGTCAACAATACCCATACTTAGCTGCATTCAGTTGGGTCTGGCAGTCCCAGGGAAGGAAATGGAATAGCATCAGAAAATGGCAGAAGCTTTTCATAAGTTACACATACACCAGCAGTGGGCTACATTGTTCATGTAATTGAAATAAATACTATTTTGCATATTTTTATTTTTATATCAAACAGAAATTCAATAATTCAGAGAAAGACTAGGGGGGGGGGGGGGCTGCACCGCGGCCTACTGCCACCAGCTGCCACTGGTGTTAACATAATCATTGTTATGGGTAATTAGATATTTGCTACAGACAACTAATATGTTAATTTCAGAATCACAATGTGGAAGAAAATTCTTAATTATCACTGTCTTTTAAAAAATCTTTTTATATGCGAATTCAAATTATTAGTCAGAAGATTATAAAAAATTGGGAGTAAGAGATATATATTGTGGAACAGAGAGTGAATCCTTAAACAACAGATCTGGAGCATGTACGATTCCCTAAATAATCCAAATAAAAACAATAATCTGCTGCATATTTCTTCTATTTTCAAGACTATCAAGTTTTAATCTGTTGTATAGGTATTCACTATCAATTCCACAAACAATTCCACATCCTGTTTCGTCATATTCAAAGGATTTGGTGAAACGACTTGACACAATTGAAGCGCTTTAATAAGTTGAATTCTATCCAGAGATCCACTTCCACAGATGCATATTTGTTTTGATCTTACAATTGCAGAGAAAAGCACTCAAAATGCTTTATTAGTCTTTAAATTCTTGCCAACTCTTAGAAGATATCCCAGTGAGTGATAAACTGATGTAGGCTGACGAGTTCAATGAAGTTTAAATGTCAATTACAATCAAATGTTATCCCTAAATCTTTTTTAATTCTAATCTTCCTAAGAGTAGCACCAGAGATTTTATAGTCAAAATATGATCATTTGGGAAAAAAAAAGACATTATTTGATACTTATCTGTGTTCAATGGAAGTTTATTTCAAACACACCAGTCAACAAAAAATCAAGGTTATTCTGTAAGACATAACAATTCTGTAACTTGCGGCAATGTCAAATGCATGTATTAGAACGAAACAAGAGAAATGAAATCCACATCATTAACACGATAGTAAAGAGTAAAGTGTCTAAATTTGACTCTTCTGGAACACGTTACAATGGAGGAAACAGATAGGACTTATATCCACCATAATTGAACTTATTCACATGTGAATCAATGTATGATACAATGAAGCTCAAGTAATTAGAAGGGATATCAAGGTTGTTCAATTTGCTCATGATAATTATATTTAAGAATGTCTAAGCCTTTAGAAAAGTCTGTATAAACTCCATCAATTTGGTCATATTCTATCAATTGAGCATGATAAGTCGTTAAAAAGGAAGTTTATGAATTGCACTGATAAAGCCATTCAATCATTTCTTAATCACACTTTTTAAAACCGCGCAAATCCTAGCACTCTTTTCATAGAGAGGGAAAATTACACATGGAAATTGCCCTTTCGTAAATAATTTTGAGTGAAGTGGCTAAAGGTGAGAAGCATTCCTTAAGTGACATTAAGGGAGCTCTTCTACTTCAGAAGTCAATTTTCAAGGCATTGTCTTCAATTTATTAGTAATGAATTCAATGTTGACAAAAGAAACATTACTAAAAAGATCTTCAACACCATCACCCAAAGACCTACATAGTGGATAAACTGAAGAAGAGGACTTCGCAAAGTGTGTCCCCAATTGTAAACCATTCATCTGACCAGATTCTTCACGAAACATTGGATCATTACAAAAATTATCAGTTTCACTTAAATTTGTTTGTGGTAGTGTATTCAAAACCAAAAACCTAATTTTAATATCAGTAGAAAATACCTTAATTCCCAACACCTCAATTGAAGGAAACGCATCAAGATGTCCAAAGTTGAATGGAGGTTTTTTTTTGCAAGAAGGAAAAGCTAAATTTATCAGGAACATTTGATCAAAAGGAAAATATTTCTCTGTTTAATGCATTCTCTATTATATAATTTTACTGTACATATTACTTTTACCCTGGGTTGTTTATTGTTTATTCTACATTATTTTTTTATTAATCCATTCTCAGGCGTGATTCAGTCCGTATGGTTGTATTAGTTGTATATATTTCAATAAATTCAAAATGAATGGAAAAAAACAGATGTTCCTTTTAATCATCAGGTTTATATAACACCTCTGAGTGTGTCTCTGTCTGTCTGTCTGTCTCTGTCTCTCCCTATCTCTCTCACTGTATCTCTCCCTATCTGTTTCCCTCTCTGACCTTTCTTTCTTTCTTTCTCTCTCTCTCTATCTATCTCACTCTCTCTCTCTCTCTCTCTCTCTCTCTCTTCTCTCATCTCTCTCCATTCCTATCTCTCCTCTCCATCTCTCTTCTCTCATTCTCTCTCTCATCTCTCTCATCTTCCATCTCTCTTCTTCCATCTCTCTCGCTCTCCCATCTCTCTCTCTCTCCATCTCTTTCACTCTCTCTCTCCATCTCTCCTCTCTCTCCATCTCTCTCTCTCTCATCTCTCTCTCTCTCCTCTCCTCCATCTCTCTCTCTCCTCTTCACCTTTCTTCCCATCTCTCTCTCTCCTCAGATCTCTCTCTCTCTCCAATCTCTCTCTCTCTCCATCTCTCTCTTCTCTATCTCTCTCCTCTCTCTCTCCATCTCTCTCTCCCATCTTCTCTCATCTCTCTCTCTTCTCTCTCTCCTCTCTCTCTCTACTCTCTCTTCTCCATCTCTCTCTCCATCTCTCTCTCCATCTCTCTCTCCATCTCTCTCTCTATCTCTCTCTCTATCTCTCTCTCTATCTCTCTCTATCTCTGTCTGTCTGTCCATCTCTTCCTTTTTTCTTTGTTTTTTTTCCTTTCTCTTCTTTCTTTCTTCTTTTTTCACCTCCTACATACTCCTTTTTTTGCAGACATAGTCTAAGGGTCACAAACATATAACTGAAACGTCATGCATATTAAGTGTTGCAATGTAAAATATAGGTTAGATTTTTGTGTATATTAGTAAATATTTGTCATTCAAATTAATTGTTTTCAATATCATAGCTTTCAATTATTGTTTATATGCATAATATTTGTGGATAAGCAAAATAAGTTTTCTTTTTCAGGAATTTGTGATTTTCTTCTTTTGTCCTATCGCTTCGCATGCATCGATGATTACTTGTGCCTTGCTGACCAGTTATCTGATACTTACCAACGAGTGCAAGAAGAAGTGGGAGAAAGTTTAACATTTATATTGAGTCATTCTAATCATACATTAGAAAATGAACCTGAAATAGATTTAGTTGTGAATAAATGTACCCGTAAATTAATAGAAGACACAAGTTCAAATAGCTCTATTCCTGATTTCCCTGTCGAACGACCTGGAACAATAACTCCTAGTAGCTCTCAGGGTTATTCTTCGGGAATGCCATGGAATAAGAGAGATTCAGAATGTGACTCATATATAATTCAAGATTCATCAGGAAGTAGTTCAGGGGAAGATTCGGATTATGACGGAATTATAACTTCTGATTATGAAAATTATGATGATTTTGAAAAAGTAAATACCACAATTGATTCAAACGAATCTCATATCAATATTAATGTAGAACAAGTGAAAGGGAGCACACCTGTGTCATCACAAATTCCAGAGAAGTTAATCGATACAAGTTATTGTCCTAGTGCTCACTGTAGTTCAAGTGCTGGAAGTGTCTATTATGAATTATCAGATAAAGATATAAAGGATTTGCAGATTGCAGGTACTTATGGTATTTTATTTTTGTTGTGGGGGTTTCTCTGTTGTTTTATTTAATTTTATTTCAGTTCAATTAAAAAATGTACATTTTGAATGTTTTGCAGATGCTGCTACTCAGGTTGTAGATTTGCAATTGGTGAGTAAAATAAAATAGAAAGTTTAAGCATTATTTTTCGAAAAAAAGAATCTATGCAATGAAGATATGTTTATATTTTAATTTTAAATATTGTATAGATCCGTAGGTGTAGTGTTGTTGTCATTGAAATGCAAGTAGTAGGGCCAATGTGGGTTAATGTATTGCAAAGTGCAAATTTTCACCTTAACTTCTATACTGATTGTAGCAAAAATGAAAGAAAACAAAAATCTGAATATAAGCCTTTTGATTTTCAAGACGTGTATGAGGATGAAAAAAATTTCACGCATTCTACAACTCTTTAGAAAATTTTGAATAGTTTCCTATCACTTCTAAAGTTTCTAAAAGAAGGTTGTAAGATAAAGTAAAATAAACAAAACACAACTTTGCTTAATTTTATTTTAATACAACAAACTACCAAAAACTTTGTCATAAATCCTAGTATAATATCAAAACATTTGAACTTAGGTTAAAAAAAAAAAAAAAAAAAAAATCTGAATTTTAAAATGATTCAACAAATTGTTAAAAATCAATTTTCTGTTTAATCCCAGTTCAGGTTCCACTGGTTGTTTTGCTATACCTTTTCGTTCAACAAGTGAAACATCTTGCTCCTTCCAAGAAAAAAAATTGTTTAAACGCAATCTCGCCAGCACTTCATCATCTTCAGTATTTGTGTCTGGCAAAATCTTCATACAAAATTCTGCAACAAACCAGTCCTTAACCTTAATAGGGTTTGGAGGTTTCACACTCTTCATTGTTTTCAATCAGCTCTTCAGATTCTGTGTTGGTTCTCTCTCATAGCATACCTTCTATGTTCATATTGTTATCGTTTCCTTCTAAGGGTTTAAAACCTTAAAAGGAATCACTACATCTGATGGAACAATTTTTCTTTTCTGAACTCCCTTTTGAGTTTTCTTTCCCAATTACAGTGGATATATTGATATAGTCCTGAAGATGTGAATGAAACATTTTAACTAAATTTGCCAATTCACCTCAATGAATAAAGACTGATGTTTTCTATAAATTTGAATTATTTTGAATTTGATTGTATATAAAAATTGAAAAGATGCCTCAAAATATAATTTGAAAAATACAAAGACAATCATTCAAGAGGATATACTGTTAATATACATGTGTATTGAACATTGCAGGCATTAAAAAAGGATGCTGACACCCAAACAGATAGTTCTTGTGATTTGGAAAGAGAAAACGAAGACTTAAGAACTGTCAATAGTCAGTTGTTACAGGCTGCGACTATGTTGAATGATGAAAAACAGAATCTAATGTCACGTTTTCAAGAAGAGATAAATGGGTACAAACAAAAAATACAAGTATGTACTCCAGAGACGATGTATATATTTGAAATGTTATATATTGAGAATTTTCTTTCTTCATTGTTTTTCCCATCTGATTTTTTCTCTAGTTATATGAAAGTAGACTATCCAGTCTCGTTGTTGAAAAGGAGCAGAATGAAAATGATTTACAATTTCAAATTGGTATAAGAGACTCCAAAATTGATGCCATTATTAAGAAAAATCATGAAGAATTCAGCAAACTGGTGAAGAAAAATGAAGAGGATGCAGGTTTATTAAAGAGAAATCTGTAAGACTTTTCTTTGTACAAATTAGACTCATATTCTTATTATAATACTATTTGTTAAAGCTCGGATGTAGACAATTTTATAAATTATATATATTATATAGCGATATATATATATATATATATATATATATATATATATATATATATATATATATATATATATATATCGCTCTTTCTTATATTACATCTCATTCGAAGTACTCAGCTCCTATGAATTGTTCATATTGTCGCCATAATGCAATTTGACTGTTCCTACATTTGTAGGAGAAACTCCCAATGTTATGAAAATGCAACACAATTTAACTGTAAAAGTTGTTTGGAAAATCACATACTACTTGCAGTTAATCCATATTATATTTTGAATCATGATGACAGGAAACCATACAGATCACCAATATAAAAAAAATATAAATAATGAAGTTAACATATTTTAATTAATTATTAATTGATTTAATAATTAAGTTTTTATAACTATTTCAAGTGGTTTTAATGACAATGTGAAACTTCCTCTACTATAGCTCGACCACTTAGAAAAAAACCCATCATCAAGCTTACCTCTGGGGGCATGGCTCAATCATCCCCCACTGCTCATGAAGGGGAGCTCAAATGAACTCAAGAACCGCCTGCAATGATAACTGATTCGCTCTTGCAACTTAGTTCCCACGCTTCAACACTAGGGTTTGGAATGTTTGTCAAGGTCAGGGTCGTTTCTCCCCGCATGCCTGAGCCGAGGTGGCAGCGGTAGCGGTGGCTCTTCAAGGCAGGGAAGTGGAGCGTCTCAGAGAGGGAACTTTCCCCTTCACCATTTTTAGTGCATGTGCAATCCAGTTCTTGTTTGTTTTGTTTTTTTAAGTGGTCGAGCTATAGTTTTGATTTTAAATTTTGCAGCCCTCAAAATTTGAAAAATATAATTCTATTCACTTGCTCATTAGTTAATTTCGATTTAAATAATTGAAAATATTTGTGCAAGTATTATACTATTGTTATTGCATGATACAAAGAATTTGTGATCTTTTAAAATCACAAGATTTATGGGTTAACATTTTGATTTTAATAATTTTTATTGTCAATTTTATTATAAACATTTCTACATTGTATTCGAATCGAAGAGGGTAATCGATGATGATGATGATGATGATGATGATGATGATGATGATAAGAGGGGGTAACATCTTTAATATTGACTCACCAAACTCTATCTTCACCACTGATCGAAAAGCATATTGGCTTCAATTAATGCAGACATCAGCTTGTTGAAGTGTAATTGTTTTCAATTAATTTCACTTTCATTTTAAAAGCTGGGTTAGAATTCTAGAAATTGACTGCTCTGCTCAGACATTTTCGTAGTTTGCTCCTATTATTTCTAGATGGATGCTGCACAATTATTTAATGTTTAAGTCTTAATCAGCAAATGAAATCCTTCCATTCTGGCCCAGATGTAAGGCTGATCTCCCATCCTCAAATGGTCCATCTCCCTTCATCACATTGGAGATGCAGCATGCTTCAATAGCTCTGAAACGTGACAAGATAAAGTAGTTTTTATCACATCAGAAACATGCAGTAACCACACGAAACTACACCAATGAAATGGATAAAATTATTTCATCAATTTTGCTAATTGATTGTGAAATTATGGATTACATAATATTGTGGAATTGATTGGAATATAATATTTGTGCAAAGTAATGTACATAAATAATATCCGTTGAATGATTTTAAATAAATTATTACAATTTGGAATTAATTGAAAAAAAAATCCAAAGTGAAATTTTAAAATCAGTCATACAATTAGTATGAAATATAGAATTAATGTAAATGAATTGCACTTTTTGCCCATTTGGCTCAAATATAAAGGTTTCCTTTTCTGTAAGAGATTCAGATGTATTAAATGTGGGAAATTTAAAAGTTACTGCTGGTTTCAGAGAAACAATGTCCGAACTTAACAAAGAAGTGGAAAAACAAGCTAACACTATCATTCGTTTGGAAGACCAACTGAGGCGAGCGAATGAACAAATTTTGACAATCAGGAAATTATTTGGTGAATTCAAACTGGATAGGTAAGTAATCTCATAAATGAGAATGTGGATGTAATGACCTTGTCTTTTATGAATGCTTCTTTGTATCATTTTCAGTCTTCTTTAATTGAAGATTAGTACTCTTTTTCTCCAATATTTAGTTGCTTTAAAACTTTGCATGTGTAAATATTCCTAATGGAAAGTGTTATTCAACGACAATCATAGGAAACATTTTTCCTATATTTCTAAAATAGCTGGAAATATTCATAATATTTATTTATACTTGATTCCCATTGAAGCATTTTATTTTACTTAATTTTACGCAAATATTTACGTATTCGTGCTTACATTTATGGCATGCTATTAAAACCTTTTGCTATTAGGTTTGTTACTTTGTGTTTTTAAAATAATTAAAGATGTTGTCATTGCCAACAATATTTTTTAATACAATAGCAGCTTTCGATGGCTTAGCGTTGCATTAAAAAATATTGTTGGCAATGACAACATCTTTAATTATTTTAAAAATGCCAAAGATATCTTACCACAACACCTATATTGTGTTTTTAAGTTTTTATTCTCATTCTGGGATGAGCAGTAATTCAATTTCATTCCAGTTATAGCTGTTGCAAATCATTATCTTAATATTTGTAAGAATCTTCAGAGATTGTTTGGCCCAAGTCATTCTGAAACTTTCATTTGCTGCTTGGGTTATGTCCATAGAGATCTTATTTGTTCTTGAAATTTATTTGTGAAATTGGGATGCAGGATTGGGTTCATTGAAAAACTCAACCATTACTAATAGTGACATTCTTTGTCAAAAATGCAAATAATTATATTTTCAAATTCAGCATGATATAAAAGGAACAAAAAATGTTTTTTGTTTTTTTGGAACATTCTTTTTATTTCAAAATAATTCAATTTTTTAACGATTTGTACAAATTTTCTGGTATTGTTGCATTATAAAATTCCAAGCTGTATTCAAGAAGTTTCATCTCATATTTATTTATTTAACACTATCTACTGATGTCAAGGAACAGAAAAATTGCACAACAAAATTTTTTCGTGGTCACTGCAAGGTCATGGGTATAACTGGATAAAAATCAATGGGGAAAATATGTCATAGTCTTTTTTTGATTTTCAACAACCACTTCACTTGTATTTTATCCCTACACAATTTCTTCCTTAGTTATTGAAGGGATTCAAAACTATGAGCATATTTATTGCAAAATTTGTGATGAAAGGTTGTTTTGATAAAATTAATTTTTATTGGGAAATCAATAGGTCCATTACAATGTTTTGCCATTACATTTTGTGTAGGACACTGGTTGTGACAAAAATCTGGTATATGTTGAAAATTGTGCAAGAATTGAAAGGATTTTAAATGCATTTTTTGAGATAGTTCACAGACATTTAACACATTTCTTCCCTTGCTATAACTCTGTTCTAATCATATTTGCTGTCAAATTGTGTAATATCACTTTGAATCATCATTGAGGGCACAACTTCAAATTATTAATGAGAGTATAGTTCTTAATAGAATTCTTTTGTTATCAGTTATCTGGCTAAATGTAAGGAAAGACTGCACTGCATGAATATAATGTTTCAATGGTTTCAAGACAACTCTTCTAGTGCTGATGAACTAAAACCAGCAATTGAAGCGTGGGAACGTGTTGCAGTATCTCTTCAAGAAACTAGAGACTTGCTTCAGGTGAGATTGGCTGCTAATTCTATTTGTTTAAAGCATGGCCACTTTTCTTTCTACCACATGTATTGAACAACTTGAGTTTTGCAGATTCTAATGAAAATCATTTTCCAATGATTCGGAACTAAAAGAACTATTCAACAGTTTTTTGATAAGATTATATTTTTATACTGGTTTTATTGAAAAGTGCTGTATATTTCATGGACTCTAGCATAAAAGATTGTAACCCTCAGAATTGCAGTTTTTGTAAAACTAATTTTTACATTCTCATATACATATGTATTTATGAAGTAACATATGTAGTATAGAGAAAGTTATGTAATGCTGAAAATTGTTATCCAGATTTCAATGGAAGTGCACATTTTGGGGTCTCCTGATACCAAAAAAGTATTGTTTACTTGTTGTTCTTCTCTTGTCTTCTTCTTTTCTTCTTTTTCTTCTTCTTCTTTTCTTCTTCTTCTTCTTTTCTTCTTCTTCTTCTTTTCTTCTTCTTCTTCT